ATAATATTTTATACATCCTATTATTTCAAGTCTGTTTGCTTTTAAAATATTAAGAAATGCTCCCACTTTCCCTCCCTCTAAAAAAAAAAAAAAGAAGAAAAGAAAATATGAAGATAAAAAAACCCCATTATAGTCAGGAGATAGCCATTGAATAATGAGACCTTCCCACCACCAAAATACTAAGGTTCAAGTTGAGTTTACTGACCTCCTGCAACTGTTTAAGCAAACTTAGGACAACTGAGTCTCTTTCCAACTGCTGCTTTAAGTCTGTAAATTCACCAGTTGATACATGAAGATCCCGGCAGACCTAATTCACACACCAAAGACAAGTACTTTTAAGCTATACCATACCTAAGAAATAAAACATTTACAGCAAATCAATAAGCTCTACTAGGTCAACATAATTCATGTTGAAATTTAAATGCTAGTTAAGACTGGAATAAAAATCACAGAATGTAGTAGGAAGATACCCTAGAGGTCCAACTAGTCCAAACCTTTATCCTATCACAAGAATACCCATTTCTTTCAATATAATATCCTCAAGTCACCATCTATTCTTAATTTAAACAGGTATCTTTCATCAGAGAGCTCATCCACCTGGATTACTAGAAAGGTATCCCCACTGCCAAGTGATAACTCATTTTAGAGTCAGACAGCTCTATTAGGATTTTTTTTTAATTGAAACAGGGTCTCACTCTGTTGCCCAGGTTGAAGCACAGTGGTGCAATCTCAGCTCACTGCAGCCTCAACTTACCTAGAATCAAGCGATTCTCCCACCTTAGCCCTGCTGAGTAGCCAGAACTACAGGCACGCACCACCATGCCTGGCTAATTTTTGTATTTTGTGATAAAGATGGAGTTTCGCCATTTTGTCCAGGCTGGTCTTGAACTCCTGGACTCAAGCGATCTGCCCACCTTGGCCTCCCAAAGTGCTGAGATTGCCAGCATGAGCCACCGCACCTTGTCAGAAAGATTTAATATTGAGGCAGAATCTACCTCTCATTCTGTCCCACCTTATCAAATGACTTTACATGATCAATTATTCCCTGTCTCCTAAAATCTCCAATTAACCTCTCCCTAATTTATCTTCACTCATTCGTGAAATATATATTGACTGAATACCTGTAAGTGCATGGCTTATCCCATCAAATTTAAATATGTTAAAATTTCTCCCATCTTTTGGAAAAATATCCCTCCACCTCACCAACTACCCTATTGCTCAGCAACTGCTTTATTTTTCTCCTCCCTCTCACAAACAGCTTCCTGAAATAGTGACCTATATTCACTGTCTTTACATTCTCACCTCTCAGTCACTCTATACCTCACTGTGATCTGGTTCCTAACTGTTCTTGCCAAAAAAAAAAAAAAAACACTAAACTCCTCATTGCTAAATCCAAAGCATACATTACTAGTACAGTCGTGTGTCACTTAACAATGGGGACACATTCTGAGAAATGCATTGTTAGGTGATTTTGATGTCATGCAAACATCATAGAGTATACTTACACAAACCTAGATGGTATGTCCCACTATATACCTAGGCTACATAAAACTATTGCTCCCAGGCTATAAACCCATACAGCATGTCAGTGTACCATTTACACAATGGTAAATATTTGTGTATCCAAACACAGAAAACATACAGTAAAAATACAGCATAAAAATGGTACACCTGTATAGGGCACTTATCATGAATGGAGGTTGCAGGACTAGAAGTTGCTCTGAGTGAGTCAGTGGGTGAGTGGTGAGGTAATGTAAAGGTCTAGGACATTAGTGTACTCTACTGCCGACTTTATAAACATTATATATTTAGGTAACACTAAATTTATTTTTAAAAATTTTCTTTCTTCAATAATAAATTAACATTATCTTACTATAACATTTTTACTTCATAAACTTTTTAGCTTTTTTTTCTTTTTTTTGAGGACTCTCACTCTGTCACCCAGCTGGAGTGCAGTGGCACAATCTTGGCTCACCGCAACCGCTACCTCCTGGGTGCAAGCAATTCTCCCGCCTCAGCCACCCAGGTAGCTGGGATTACAGACGTCCACCACCACACCCAGCTAATTTTTGTATTTTCAGTAGAGATGGG